TATTTATTTTATAGACTGTAAAACTATTTACACCTAGTCTTAGAAAGGGAAGAATAGTAAGGGATGAAATAGAAACGCAGCCTTAATTACTTATTAAGCCTATTATTTCTTTATTAAACATGAAAAATGGAGCAATGTTCCAGATTTACCATTTTCATTGGTAAGTATTAACAAGCATGCTTTCAATTTGCGTACTAGCCAGTTTCCATATGAATGCAAAAGAATAAGAAGTAAATAATGCCTGTTTTTGAAAATCACTCATATTTACCTAGACTGTCTTGTAGGAGTTTTTTTTTTAACTCTGAATCTATTTTTTGACATTCAGTATTCTTTTATGCATGCCATCACACAGCTACACAGAAATTACTGTGCTTCTGTGGATATATCTCAAAATAAATTTGAAATTCATCCTATACAGGGGGGGGGCATCAAGAAATTTTTGGAAAATAAATTTCCATAGACTTTTTGAGATCTTTAATATTTAGAAGAATTATAAGCTAGTTTTGTTATGGGTTGGCTTGGGGTTTCCCCCCTGAGAAAGCCATAATGACTTGTTGTATTTTCATATTAGTAACTTGCTCATCAGCTCCTATTACTCACTGCCATCGAGTCAGTGCTGCCTCACAGCGACCCGCCCTGTGGGTTTCTGACACTGTAACAGTTGATAGGAACAAAAAGCCCCATCATTTCTCCCAAGGAACTGCTGGGGCTTTGAACTGCTGACCATGCAGTTCTCACCACAATGCGTAACCACTATATCACCAGGGCTCCTTCTGTTCCTAATAATAGGTTTTAAGTAAGAATATGTGCATTACTGTCATTGTTTGTGATTTGCTGATCCATAAGAACCCTACAAAACATGTGTATCCTTTACAAAGGAACATTTACCTGCATACTCTAATTCTACAATGTTTTATTAATTTCACTATCATTGAACCATGTGACTGTAGAGTCACACAATCAAACCAACAAATCCAAAAGGAAGTCCAATATGACATGTTTATAAAGATGTGTCTGATGTCAAACGGGGAGAAACATTTCTTCATTTTGTGGTTCTGGGTATCACTGGTTGAGAGAAAGACACAAGCCTATCTGAGCCATCCTTGTCGACAGCACTTGGTCATCTCGCTGCTCAGGGCCTCTGTTTGGAAAATGAAAATCCCTGCAACTTTCCTCACAAACACACTTACACACATTGTCTGGTTTTCTGTGATTTTCCCCCTTTGTTAGCCATTTACGAGATAGTAATATACAGAACCTAACTCACTGCTACTGAGCCCCTTATATCTCAGAGCAACCATGTAGGGAGCCCTGTTGGCGCCATGGTTACAAGTTGGGCTGTGCACCGCTAGGTCAGCAGTCTGCACCACCAGCCACTCCACGGAAGAAAGATGAGGCTTTCTACTCCCTTAAGCAGTTGTCATCTCAGGGACCCATAGGGTCATTTCTGAACCCTACCCTAAAGGGGTCATTATGGCAATGATAAAGGTTAGTTAAAATCAATTCGTGTGCATCGGGTTGAACAGATAAATTTTTAAATGACCCCCTCCCCGTAAGCCATAACCAAACTCCTTGGGGAAATTATTTCTGTGCTTGAAGACTCAAGTCTATAGTTCTGGAAGACACGGAGATCAACTGGCATAACATAGTCCGCAAAGATAATGTGCTGCATCCCACCTTAGTCAGTAATGACCAGGGTCTTATAAGCTTGTCAGCAACTATCTGAATTACAATGATTGGTCTCTCGCTGTCCGGAGCAAAGAAGAGTGAAGAAAATAGAAGACACGTGGCAACAATTAGACCAATTGACTGATGGAGCACAGAAACCTCAGTCTCTACCACCCTAAGACGAGAAGAACTAAATGGAACCATTACAGACACCTTGAAACAAAACACATTATGATGTCCTGCCAAGCTGCCATCGAGTTTATTATGACTCATGGCAACCGTATAGGATGGAGTAGACGGAACAGAGCTGCCACCTTGGGCTTCTGAGACGTCCCATCTCTATCGGGCAAACAGCCTCATGTTCTCCCACATGGTGAGTGGCTGGTATGTTTGAACTGCTGCCCTTGTGATTAGCACTTCAATGAGTAACTTACTACATCACTAAGGTCCTGGATGAAGTGAGAGAAAAATGTAAACTAAAACTCAAAACCATAAATAAGCATTTCTGATCTGATAGAGATTGGTGGAACTTCTGGGACTATGGACTTTAGTCCCATGTTCCAGAACTGTAACTGAACTCTAGTCCCTCGATTTTCAGCTAACGAGTAAAAATTTTATAATGTGAACAATAATACCAGGGAGGTGTGTACTCCCTAGAATAATCAACCGTTTAAAATTGAAAGGGCAGCATTTTCCCAAGGATGACATTCAGAAGGCAGGGCAGGTTAGGAAAGAAAGGAATGGAAACAGGGAACATAAGGAAGAAATGGGATACTGATGTTTCATTGTGGGGATTACAACCAGTGACACGAAACAAAATGTCTATGAAGTGTTGAATGGAAAACTGATCTGTTCTGTAAATCTTTACCCAATTTACAAGAGAAAGGTTTTTTGTTTTTTTTAATTATGTATCAGATAAAGGGCTAATTTCAAACATCTATAGAAAGTATAACACCTTAATGAGAAAAATACAAATAACCCAAACACCAAGGACGATATTCCTGCTCAGAGCAGCCAGTGCACAAAGAGGACCATAGGGCCAGCCCCATCATGAAACATGGCGTCCCTCACTGACCCATAGCGCTATGAGGGACAACACTAGAAGCACAGTGCAAGAATTGTACCCAATCTGACCCCACAACACTGGGGAAAAATGCTAAGGACGTTCAACAGAGCAGCAAGGGGAGCAAAGCAATGAAGCCCCTGAGGAATACGAAAAATAGACTTTGGGGCCAGGGCATGGCACCTAATCATACTCAACCAGAAAACACTCCTAAAGGCCAAGAAACAGACCTGGAGCTATTTATAGGCTTTCCTTTTTTTTTTTGGCTTTGGTTTTTTAACTTGTGGTTTTCTTTTGTTGTTTTGCTTTGTCTTGTTTTTGTGCTTATTATTGTCTCTGCATGTCTATCTAGATAAGCTAGACAGGATAAACAATCCAGAGGAGAAAACAATGGGACCCAATGTCCCAGGGGGGACATGGGAGAGGGGGAGGTGGGGGAAAGGAAGTGGGTGTTAACAAACCCAGGGACAAGGGAACAACAAGTAATCAAAAATCCATGGCGAGGAGGATGTAGGATGCCTGGTAGGGCTTGATCAAGGACAGTGAAACCGGGAGGAATTACTGAAAGATAAATGAAGGTTGAACATGATAGTGGGACAAGAGAAAAGTGAAAGAAAATAACAGAAAAAACTAGGAGGCAAAGGGCATTTATAGAGGTCTAAATACAGGCATGTACATATGTAAATATATTTATATATAACAATAGGGACATAGCTCTATGTACATATATTTATATGGTAAGTTATAAGGTAGCAGATAGACATTGGACCTCTACTCAAGTACTCCTTCAATGCAAGAACACTTTGTTCTAATAACCTGGCGTTCTGTGATGCTCACCTTCCAGACACAATCGCAGAAGACAAAATGGGTGCATGAGTGCCCGGCTATCAAATAATATAGAGTCTAGGGTCTTAAAAGCTTGAAGATAAAAAAGCGGCCCTCTAACTGGGAAGCAGCAAAGCCTGCATGGAAGAAGCACACCGGCCGGTGTGATCATGAGGTGTGGATGGGATCAGGCATCAGGCATCAAAGACCCAGAACAAAAAGTCATATCAATGTGAATGAGGGGGAGGGTCCAGTGGAGACCCAAAGCCCATCTGTAAATAACTGGACATCCCCTTACAGAAGGGTCACAAGGAAGAGATGAGCCAGGAAGTTTGCAGTATAGCACCGATAAAAATTATACCTTTCCTCTAGTTCTTTAATGCTTCTTCTCCCAATAAGATCATGACCCCAATTCT